GATGTGAGTAGAGCTGGGCTATTTGAGTGCTATTTGGCTAGCGGAAAGCCTCCTGACCGACAGAGCTGTATCACCTGATGAGCGGTCCTGAGTAGCTCTTCATCTGAGTCAGCACCCCCGCAGATATCGTCTATTTATCGTCCTTTCATGAGCGGTTCCACAGCGAGAGGATAGTTCGATCCTTCATCCTCAACGAGCTGATGAAGAACACGCATTGAGAGGAACGGAGCTGACCTAGTGCCATATGTGACCGTGGTGAGTTGATAGGTGGCGATATCTCCGTTTGAGTCGGTCCAGAGTATTTGTTGGAGTGGCCAATCTTCCGGATGTACCTGAATTTGACGAAACATCTTGGTTATGTCCGTCATGAAAATGAGCCGTTTCCGCCGAGAAAAGAGAAGTACATCCGAGATATCCTTCTGCAACTTCTCACCCGTGTGCATAATCTCGTTCAACGATTGTCCTGAGCTGGTCTTGTTGGAGCCGTTGAAAACAACTCTGAGCTTCGTTGTCTCACTGCTCGCCCTGAGAACTCCGTGATGAGGGAAGAAATATTCCGGAGGAGCGTCAGCCCGAGAAGAACACGGACGGCCCGAAACCCTCAACCCTCCTGAAGCCGAGGCCTCATGTGCTAAGGTCATTTCGGTGCCCGTGCCCCCCCATTGAGCTGGCGCTGATGAGCTGATCTAGCGAGCTGTCCGGAGACTCGACGCATGTGGCCGAGCTCTTCATATTCCCTGAGGAAGTCCGTGTAGAGCTGACGATAAACCTCATCACGTGAGAGTTTCCTGAGCAGACGATGGAGGCAAGCGAGTGCAGACGATCGTGAATCTCCTAGCGAGGAAACTGGAGATTTGAGCGGTATCCGAACAATGTAGCGGCCAGATGCATCTCGTGAGTGGGTCCGTTGAAAGTGTTCTTCACACTGCGCTTCCTCCTCGTTGAGCTGAACCTCTGGTGTCCCAGGGATCTCTTCCTGGATCCAGAATTTGGTGAGCAGTTCGTTGAGATCCTCGTTGGTGACCGTTAGATGAGAAGTTGCTACTTGAGTAGTATCAGGACCTTCCGTTGGTCCGAATACGATCCATCCAAGTCGCGTGAGCTGAGCCGATGGTGAGTTTGGTCCGTTGGTGATGACTTGTGGTAAGATGAGTTGTCCATAGACATCAGCGCCAAGAAGGATGTCAATTGGTGCTGGTGTGAGAAAATCGGGATCAGCGAGCTGGAGTCCTTCCAGATGATCCCATGTGAGCTGACTTGGTGAGAATGTCGGTAATGAGGTTGTGAGCTGGCCGAGAGCATAGGCAGAAACTCTGAGCTGAAAGTGAGAGCAAGTGGACTGTATTGTGAGCCGAACCTTGCCTAATGCCGGCCCAGATGCCGTGTCTCCAATCCCCGATATTCGTAGCTGTGTCTTGAGCCTTAACAGCCCAAGCTGACGAACGAGCTGGTCTGAGATGACGGAGATTTCCGACCCTGGATCGATGAGTAGACGAACCTGATGAGCTGGCTGATCTGGGCGTACCAAAAGCGCAAGGCTGGTAGCCAGAAGGACCCCAGGGCGGAAGTCTGGAGCGGATCCGGAATCTGAGTGGTGACCTGAGCAGGAGACGGCAATCTGAGCTGGTGATCTTCATTCCGACGACGTTGACTGGCCTTGGTCACCAGTCACCACCATGGGGATGTCGTTCTCGTGGGTGTAGGTCACCACCGGAACGGCCTTTTGCTGGGTTGAGTTGGTCTGTTGCCTCTGCTGAGCTGGACGTTGAGGCTGACTCGATGTCTGGTTGTGGAGCATCGAGTGATGGAGGCCCCCGCAATACTTTCCGCAATTCGTTTCCGGGATCGTAAGATTCGCGATGCGTTGAGCTGGCTCCCCTGAGAGACTAGTACGAAGATAATGCATCTTCTTCTTGAGAGTTATTCAGGCTAATGGTCGCCTCAAATGATGCCATAATTGAAAATAAGTGCGCAGCTCAAAAAAAGGAATGAACCGGAAAAACCTAAGTAAGGCGACCCCAAAAGCCAAGCAGTGAGCAGTGAGAAGCGATAAAATTAAGTATCCGGTCGGTTGAGCGGCAACAGTAATAACACCGAAGAGTCTTAATTTAGTAGGTAGCAGAAGTGAGCGATTCCGTTGAGCAGGCGCGCGAATTTATTGAAAAATTCAAAAAAAACTAAAAAGGGTTGGAGAATATAAAGGGAGCGGTAGCCAAAAAAAACAAAGTTGAATGCTCCAAAAAATTCAAAAAAAAGAAAAAATGGCAAAAGTAGCAAGAGGTAATTAAATGCTACTTAGCCGAGTGAGTGATGTTGAGTTGGACCAGTGCAGGAACGCTGCAGTTGAGAAAAAAGTCCAAAGTCCCGGGGATGAGCTGCTCCAAAATTCAAATATTCCCGCGGGCCGGTAATGCAGTTCCCTGATGATTGGAGAGCTGGACTGGTTGAGGTCCACTGCGTGCGCTGAGCCAACGAGCTGGTCCCCGTAGGTTGAGCACCACTGACCGCGTCACTTCCACTTCCGCCAAAACCCAACAAAAAAACCGAAAACCGAAAAATATTCCACCGATCCGGCTCGAAGGACCAAAATGTTTGATGAGATGCCTGGATCGGGGAATTAATTGTGCGGATGGATGAGTTGGAGTCGGATTACGGGGAGTGGGATGAGTAGAACCAAGAAATGAGCGGAACACGTGCACGTGGTCACAAATTCACTGTATTTGTCCAATATTTATAGTTATTTACACTGTCACAATAAATAGAGTCACTAATTGATTGAGTCACTGAGCAACCGTAATAATGAGCGGACCGATAATAATGAGCCGACTAATTCCTTGAATTGATAATAATTGAGCTGACACAATGAGTTAACCCGAGTCACTAGAAAAGAGCAGTACCATAAAAGAAGTGTCTTTAACTAGATCCCGGAAACGAATGAGAGAGAGACACGGGCTTACAGGTGCCACGTGCCCTAATTCGATGGTCACATGACCTAATTTAATATAGATCATATGGTAATAAGGAGCTGTTCAGGACGTGGCGCCTCAGGTGTCCGAATTAACAACCCCCGGTCATCTGAGGTGAGCGCGTCAGGTGTGCGTGAGTGGGGAGAGAATGGATGAGCCTTGCGTGCGTTAGTGTGAGGGACCTGTCAGCTGACAGGATTTCCAACAGGTATTATAAACACGCATGTATGCACGGCCCTGGTGATTATGCACCAAACAATCTCCTGCATACACACCTTTGCAAATTTTTAATCGAGGGACGTAGCCCTCTTCAACATCCTTATTTTTTATTCTAATGAAGAATGCTGACTCACTGCGAGGAGCAATGTATCCAACATTATCTTCAACATAATCGATCTGTTCAAAAGGGTATTTCTTCCCGTTAATTTCCAAATACCGATTCCCATAATCAATTTTCGCCCCCGCGGTTTTAAAGAAGTTAGAACCCAATAATCCCGCGTAAGGAATTTGCATGTCATCGGGTACGACATGAAACAATGCTACTTTTCCCAAAACATCCATATTGATACTGCCGAGAGTAAATACGGGAATTTTTGAAATACCGTGTAATTCTATTATATTAGAGTCATCAATAAAAATATTATCTTCAACGAATTTATTTTTAATTAGATTTGGTGATGCGCCTGAATCAAGCATCAATTTNCGCCTGAATCGAGCATCAATTTAATTTCTTGTTTATTTTTAATATATCCAATTTTTAAAAACGGAATATCCTCGTTATTTTTAAATTGTACTGAAATTACAGGGAGTCGTCGCTCAACTCCGCTTCTTGAACCATTGTTATCGGACGCTGAGTGAATGCATCTTTCCCCGCGCCCCTCGGGAAAGATGACCTCTGGTTTCCCGAATTTTTGGATGCCAAGAATAAACAATTCTCCAAAACATGTCCTGTTCGTTTACAATAACGACAAGTAACATTAGAATTATTTTTGCTCGATCCACCCCTGCATTTATCAGCAGTATGGCCAAGATTATCACACAATTGACACTTATTTTGATTTTTCAGAGGATTTCTATTCAATGAAAAACAAGTTTTCGCAGTATGATTTCTTTTCTTACAAATTTGACAAAATAAGTTACTAGAGTTTTGATTTCCAATACGAATAAAACATGTTTTTGCAGAATGACCCCGTTTATTGCAAACTTGACACTCAGAATCAGAGTGATTGGCATTATTATTATTATTAGGGAAATTTCCACGATGATTTGGAAATTTGTTATCACTTTGATTATTATTTTGATTATTTTTATTTTGATTACCATTCCGAAAATTTTGACGATTAAAATTATTTTTTTCGTTTTGATTAGATTTCATGAATTTTACGGGTTTTTGATTAACGACATTTACATCACTTTTTTTATTCTCTTGATTTCGCGGCCGTTCCCCACGTAATTCACTTTTCGCGAGCAATTTTCGTTCAATTTCAATCGCTTTTTCATAAGCATTAGTCATCGAGGCACAAGCTGGCATACGTTGATCAATATCAGGCTTCAAACCTTGTAAAAAACACTGTTTAATATTTTCATCTACTTTATCTTTTACCGCTTTTAAATGGTCTGCTGAATGCGTTGGATTATTTACTTTAAACAACTCTACAATTTCTTGACCTTTTTTTCTCAATTTATTTGCAAAATTGACAACAGAATCTGAATCTTTTTGAAAAATAGAGCCTAATTCACCTTGCAATTGCCATTCTGTTTTAGTAGAGGTATAGATAGTTTTTAATTCTTTGATCAAATTATCAATGTTATCGAATTTTTTATTATTTAACGAATCTTTTACTGATTGGCTTAGACATTTTCTTTGAACTAATTTTGTTAAATTTTCTTCTGCACCTGCAGGGAGCATATCTTTTGCTTCTTCGACATTTCTAATAAAATCATAAAGATCTCCTGGTTTACCTTCAAATACAGGAATACATGAAATTGCATCCTTCAATGAAATTAATTGGTTTGGGCCTAGATCTGCCATTGTGTAACGATTATTATTATTTCTTACGTTGGGTAAATTATCTACACCGTCTTCAGGATCCGCAGAAATATTTAAATTTAATGATTCATTATCATCCGATAAATTACCGTCTGTTTCTAACGTTTCATTAACCGTATTATCTTTAGATATATTTAGTTTTCGAAACGACGATACTTCCAAAGGATTTATTCCTGAAGTACTTTGATCCGCATCGCTAGAAATATTACTTAAAAGGCTTTGTAAACCAAGTGTCTCTTGTTGAGATTGACTTGTTTCACCAAATCCAGAATCTAATGTTTTATCTGATTTTTTATAAGGTCGGGATGGTTGAAAAAAAACCCGGTAAAATTTTACCACTTCTTAAAGTTATTAATCTATTCAATTCATCCTCAGTCGGTTCTTGCCCCGACATTTGTACTCATTTTTACCAAGTGTTCCTTTCAGATTAAAAAAAAAATTAATGAGAGAATTAAAAAAAAATTGAATTTTGGAAATAATTGTAAAATATTTTTATGAATTGACAGTTTTCCCAATTTGGTGATTGAGAATTTTTTTTTTTAGGACGAGCCCCCAATTTTGTTTCGTCAAGAATGGGTTACTTGACACAACTTTATTAAATTAAAATTCAATATATTGAACCAAAGAAACAAGATTAAATTCAAAGATCGTCTCGAAATTAAGGAATAGAATTCAAGCACAAAACCCATTTACAAAGGTCCCCTTTTACTTCAATTTTCTAAACCCCAAAAGTATTTGGAATCAAAGGTTGGAAAGGTTCACTTGGAGTAAAATGAAAAGAATTTTGAATAACTTTAAAGTGACTCAATAGAGTCTATATTTTAACAAAACAAGTAGAAAAGTATAACTACAACATTCGACTTACATTCACTGCTCTGCTTTCAGTCGTAAAGTATTTTGTATGTGGTTAAAAGTAATGCCGCACTGAATTTAAGACGTTGGATTAAATTCTTTATTTAAATGAATCAAATAATTAAAAATGTCACAAGACTTGGGATTTCAGAAAATAATTTAGTCACGAAAGACTAAAATGGAAATTAAATAGTCATCCAACACTATATGAAAATTAAAGGTCGCGAAAAACCCGAAATATCGCCTTAATAGGTCGATAATAAAATTGGAACTGTGTCCAAAAGAAACTGGAGTATACTAACTCTCAGATATGAGCTACTACTACTACTGTAGCGATGACTACAAAATGCAATCGGAACTGTAACTGTCGTGCTGCTATCGCGCACAAGTCTTTATAGTTTATCTAGGAGGGTGTGTCCTCAGAATGCATAGGGAAATTTCGGGGACCAATTACAAATGACTCTAGCCGAAATTTCCCACTCCAGTGGTTTGAAATCTCCTTGTTTCGAGATCAACTCCATCTCTCTACATGAAGATGTTTTTGGGGTGTAGGCGGTCTTTTCTATTCCCCAACAACCAATGAAAATTGTTTTAGGAATGCCCATATATTCCCTCCACAATTCTCTTTTATCTCTTATTTTCAACTTAGCCTTAACATCTTTGTTATTTAATTTTTTAGAAACAATTTAGATAAATTTCATGAAATGTTATGATAAATTATAATTCATTGAAGAAAAATAGTAATCTAATAGTAATTCAATAATAATTCAATGACATAAAAATATTGTTTAAACTTTAATTATTTTGTGGTTTTCCACGTTGATAATATTTCTTAAACAATTATGATAGTTTAATTAATATCCGAAATGGAAAATTATTCATAAAAGAATCATTCTGTTGTATGATGCATTTTACTATTTTTGTGTCACATGTTCGTCAATGTTTATGTCATTTCCTCCATGTGGGAAACGAAATCGTTACTCTATTTTTATATCAAATATTTGTCGTGGGAGTTACAAAATTTGGACCCACGCTTAG